CGTAAGGTACGGAATCTTGGACTTGCCGGAAACAAAACGCCCGCTCTGTCCACTGATGACGTCTTGGATGGCTTGGTGGAGCTCGACCGGTGTGTACCGACTCCGAGTGAGTGGTGCCATGTTGGCGCGAAAACGCAGACTGAGTGTTGACAAGCTGTATTATTTTGTGGAGGTTTTGCCGCTCAAAATCCTGGCGATTCTATTGGCTTATCCGACGTATCCATAAACCGTCCAAGTATCCATAAAGTGGCCGTTTACGTTATTAAAAAGTTGTCCTGTGGTGATTGGTATCACACTAATTGACTTCATACACTAATTTGACGTTGATGATGGGTTCCTGCAATTTGATTGGCTCAATTCTTGTTTGAAATATATTGAACAATGCGATAAATATACCAGCTGTGGAGCGACATATACCGGAAATTGGTCGAAATAGACTGAAACGATTAATCTGAACCTAAAGGAAAAGTCTTCCAAAACCTACACAAATCGCCGACACAAACTACATTTGTCCGGATATAGTTTGTGTCTGCAATTTGTGTAGGTTTAGGAAGTGTGTATTATTTATTGTGGTCAAATTTGCTTCGTCACGTCACGCGATACTAGGGCCACCAAAACTCGCGCGAGTAATGTTGGCAAATTTTCCCTAGTTCTATTGGGTGAAATTAATTTGAATCAACAGTTTCATTCGATAAAATTGAATGGCATCGAGCACCAAAACAGCTTCATGTACACGTAAAGTGCAAATTAATGACGTACAGTATAAAGCTAAGCCAATCACTGATCCCTAATTTCGAAAAGCGCCAATCACAGAACAAATATCTGAATATGTGTACTAACTGTAAATTGTAGACAATTTTCAGTATGTCGCACAATTGTGCTGTATACAGCTCATCATATAAATGATATACCTCTATAAAGTGGTAATTGTTGACGTCTTATTTTAACCTTCCGTGTTGTATGACTTTACACTCACCCTATTATTACTTCATAGTAATATATACTACGTACTTCGAAGTACACCATTTTTCGTTTAAGTTCAGGATATTTCCGGTATATTTCGTCCGACGCACAACTGATTCACGCCATGTGCGTTATGTTCGCCAATTATTCAATATATTTCGTCCAGACCCTTCTTCGTTTCATTATATTTCGACTACTGTCCGGTACCATGTCACCCAGTCAGTACTTCATTCAGTATGCAATAAATAGATTCCTTCAAACGTTATGCGATGGTGAATTCTGACACCTCCATGTTTACTAGCACAAGCAAGCCTTCGCGCAGCAACTCTCGCGACGGATACGTGGGCAGGTCGATGCGGTTAAAGCACGAGTGAACCTTTGGAAAGGCGCCCTTGGAGTAGGGAATCGCTTGCAGTGTAAACGGGCACAGCCGGCCATCGTAGCTCGTGAGGCCCTTGAACCCCTGGAGGGGTACGCGGGACGACCCAGTGGTGAACTGGAGCAACTTGGCCCGGTCAGAGGGAGTCATGTCAAACTCGACAACGTCCCAGAACCACCCGACGACGTCCTCGAGCGACTTGGACACGACCGTGGACCGCTTCCAGTCACCCACGTCGATCTCTGAAAACCCACACAAAATCAGCTCCAGCTCTTTGTAGTCGAACGGCATGAGCAGCTCCTGGGGCAACACGTCGTACAGACCCTGCACCAGCCGCTGCAGCTGCGGCGCCACGCGCTCAAACATCAAGTACTGCACCATCCTCTCCACGTACTCGGCCTTGTTGGCGTTGGTCACCCCCACGTCCCGACCCCCGACCACCAGCTCCACTTCCGGTACATCCGTGTCCACACTCACACTGAACGTCAGCGCCAAATCGTCCACGTCATCGCAGTCGCGAATGTAGGTCAAGCTCGAATACACGGTCGGGTCCAAGTACCGAACGTCTTCGATCGAGACGGGGTACCCCAGCAACATCTTGAACAGCGGGACACAAAAGTGAAACGGCAGCACTTGGCCGTCGATGATGGCTCGACCGAGGAGCCTTCCAATCGCTTGAAAGTCTGCCAAGTGATACTCTCCATGATCTCTTTCCGAGTTGGGATTGATAAAGAACGACTGGTCGTCCTTGTTGGCAACCATAAACAGCCCCTGCTCGTCGTTGAAGATCTCGGTCGTGAGCAGCGTGTACCACTCCCGCGTGACGCCCCCCGCGTCGATGGCGCTTTCCCCCAACAGCGTGATCATGGTCTTGG